ATATAGCAGTCTGTTTTAAGTTGGTGGTTGCATAAGTTGGCGCATGTTGTAAAAGCACTACGTTTTTACTCTCGTTCCATGTCTTTTTAATGTCGTCTTACATCCTTTTATTTTGCGTGTCTCTTGACTAATTATTGTAGATAAAATTGATTTTACTGCTTTTTCTTTTAACCTTCATACTAATTTTCTCTGTTATTGATCTGCTATCTGAACCATATGTTTGCCTTTACCAGAGAGATTTTTAAAATGTATTTCTTATTTCTCGTTATGGTGTTTTCTGCTTAAAAAATCCCTTTAATATTTCTTGTAGAGCCAGTTTAGTGGTGATGCAGTAAGTTCCTTAGCTTTTGCTTTTCTGGGAAACACTACCTCCCCTTCAGTTCGGAATGATGACCTTGCTGGGTAGAGTATTCTTGTTTTTCCTTTTAGCACTTTGAATATATTGTGTTTCTCGCTCTTGGACTGAGAGGTTTTGCTGAAAAAATCAGCTGATAATCCAAGGGGGGGGGGTCTGCCCTTTTTTTTTTCCTCTTGGTGCTTTTAAGATTCTCACTTTATTTTTAACCTTTTAATTGTAACATGACTTTGAGTGGATTTTTGTGGGTTCATTTTGGGGGAGACTCTCTGTGCTTCTTGGAACTGGATGTCTGTTCCCTCCCTCAGGTTTGGGAAATTTTTGGCCATTATTTCTTTAAAAAGTTGTTTGCCTTCTTTTTTTTTTTTTTTTTTCCTGCGACCCCTATACTGTGAATGTTAGCATACTTGATATTGTCCTAGAGGTCCCTTAAACTATCTTGTACTTAAACTTATTATTTTCTTTTTTTACTGTTCATTATGGATGATTTCCACTACCCTGTCTTCCAGACCTCTGATCCATTTTTCTGTATCTAATCTGCTGTTTATTCCCTCTATTGTATTTTTCATTTCTGTTATTGTATTTGAAGAATACAGTTGAAGACTGTGATTGGTACTTTCTTATATTTTCTGTTTGTTGAAGTTCTCAATGTCTTCACTCATTTCTTCTCCCTAGGTCAGTGTCTTTTTGACCATTACTGTGAATTATTTATTGGGTAGATTTCTTTTTTTTTTTTTTTTTAAGATTTTATTTATTTATGAGAGAGAGAGAGAGCGAGCACAGGCAGACAGAATGGCAGGCAGAGGCAGAGGGAGAAGCAGGCTCCCTGCCGAGCAAGGAGCCCAATGTGGGACTCGATCCCAGGACGCTGGGATCATGACCTGAGCCGAAGGCAGAGCCTTTAACCCACTGAGCCACCCAGGTGCCCCTCTACTAATGTATATTTTAAATCACTATTTCCTGCACTGATGATCCAAAATTATATATTTATTTACTTAAATTTTTTATTAATGACTTTTCAGTGTTCTGGAATTCATTGTTTATGCGCCGCACCCAGTGCTCCATGCAATACGTGCCCTCCACAATACCCACCACCAGGCTGGCCCAACTTCCCACCCCCCGCCCTTTCAAAACCCTCAGAATGTTTTTCAGAGTCCATAGTCTCTCATGGTTCATCTCCCCTTCCAATTTCCCTCAACTCCCTTCTCCATCTCCCTGTGTCCTCCGCGTTATTTTTTATGCTCCACAAATAAGTGAAACCATATGATAATTGACTCTCTCTGCTTGACTTATTTCACTCAGCATAATCTCTTCCAGTCCCGTCCATGTTGCTACAAAAGTTGGGTATTCATCCTTTCTGATGGAGGCACAATACTCCATAGTGCATATGGACCACATCTTCCTTATCCATTCGTCCGTTGAAGGGCATCTTGGTTCTTTACACAGTTTGGTGACCGTGGCCATTGCTGCTACAAACATTGGGGTCCAGATGGCCCTTCTTTTCACTACATCTGTATCTTTGGGGTAAATACCCAGTAGTGCAATTGCAGCGTCATAGGGAAGCTCTATACTTAATTTCTTGAGGAATCTCCACACTGTTCTCCAAAGTGGCTGCACCAACTTGCATTCCCACCAACAGTGGAAGAGGGTTCCCCTTTCTCCACATCGTCTCCAACACACGTTGTTTCCTGTCTTGCTAATTTTGGCCATTCTAACTGGTGTAAGGTGGTATCTCAAGGTGGTTTTAATTTGAATCTCCCTGATGGCTAGTGATGATGAACATTTTTTCATGTGTCTGATAGCCATTTGTATATTTTCATTGGAGAAGTGTCTGTTCATGTCTTCTGCCCATTTTTTTGACATGATTACCTGTTTTGTGTGTGTTGAGTTTGAGAAGTTCTTTATAGATCCTGGGTATCAGCCTTTTGTCTGTACTGTCGTTTGCAGATATCTTCACCCATTCCGTGGGTTGCTTCTTTGTTTTGTTGACTGTTTCCTTTGCTGTGCAGAAGCTTTTGATCTTGATGAAGTCCCAAAAGTTCATTTTCGCTTTTGTTTCCTTTGCCTTTGGAGACCTATCTTGAAAGAAGTTGCTGTGGCTGATATAGAAGAGGTCACTGCCTATGTTCTCCTCTACGATTCTGATGGATTCCTGTCTCACGTTGAGGTCTTTTATCCATTTCGAGTTTATCTTTGTGTACGGTGTAAGAGAATGGTCGAGTTTCAATCTTCTACATATAGCTGTCCAGTTTTCCCAGTACCATTTATTGAAGAGACTGTCTTTTTTCCATTGTATATTTTTTCCTGCTTTGTTGAAGATTATTTGACCATAAAGTCAAGGGTCCATATGTGGGCTCTTTACTCTGTTCCACTGGTCCAAGTGTTTGCTTTTATGCCAGTACCATGCTGTCTTGGTGATCACAGCTTTGTAGTAAAGCTTGAAATCAGGCAACGTGATGCCCCCAGTTTTGTTTTTCTTTTTCAACATTTCCTTAGCAATTCGGGGTCTCTTCTATTCCATACAAATTTTAGGATTATTTGCTCCAGCTCTTTGAAAAATACCGGTGGAATTTTGATCAGAATGGCATTAAAAGTATAGATTGCTCTTGGCAATATAGACATTTTAACAATGTTTATTCTTCCGATCCAAGAACATGGAATGGTCTTCCATCTTTTTGTGTCTTCTTCGATTTCTTTCATGAATGTTCTGTAGTTCCTCGAGTACAGATCCTTTACTTCTTTGGTTAGGTTTATTCCCAGGTATCTTATGACTCTTGGTGCTATAGTAAATGGCATCAATTCTCTAATTTCCCTTTCTGTGTTTTCATTGTTAGTGTATAAGAAAGCAACTGATTTCTGTACATTGACTTTGTATCCTGCCACCTTACTGAATTGCTGTATGAGTTCTAGTAGTTTGTGGGTAGAGTCTTTTGGGTTTTCCATATAAAGTATCATGTCATCTGCAAAGAGAGTTTGACTTCTTCATTGCCAATTTAGATACCTTTTATTTCTTTGTTGTCTGATTGCTGTTGCTAGAACTTGTAATACTGTGTTGAACAAGAGTGGTGAGAGTGGGCATCCTTGTGTTCCTGATCTCAACGGGAAGTCTGTGAGCTTTTTCCCATTGAAGATGATTTTTGCTGTGGGTCTTATATAGATAGATTTTATTAAGTTCAGGAATGTTCCCTCTATTCCTATAATTGGAAGTGTTTTAATCAGGAATGGATGCTGGATTTTGTCAAATGCTTTTTTTGCATCAACTGAGAGGACCATGTGGTTCTTCTCTCTTCTCTTATTGATTTGTTCTATCACATTGATTGATTTGCGAATGTTGAACCGTCCTTGCAACCCAGGGATGAATCCCACCTGGTCATGGTGGATAATCTTTTTAATGTGCTGTTGGATCGTATTTGCTATTTGCTAGGATCTTGTTGAGAATATTAGTGTCCATATTCATCAGTGATACTGGTCTGAAATTCTCCTTTTTGGTGGGGTCTTTGCCTGGTTTGAGGATCAGGGTAATGCTGGCTTCATAAAAAGAGTCTGGAAGTTTCCTTCTGCTTCAATTTTTTGAAACAGCTTCAGGAGAATAGGTGTTATTTCTTCTTTGAAAGTTTGGTAGAATTCCCCAGGGAATCCGTCAGGTCCTGGGCTCTTGTTTTTTTGGGAGGTTTTTGATCACTGCTTCAATCTCGTTACTAGATGTTGGTCTATTCAGGTTGTCACTTTCTTCCTGGTTCAATTTTGGGAGTTTATAGTTTTCCAGGAATGCATCCATTTCATCTAGGTTGCTTAACTTATTGGCATATAACTGTTGATAATAACTTCTGATGATTGTTTCTACTTCCTTGGTGTTAGTTGTGATCTCTCCCTTTTCATTCATAATTTTATTAATTTGGGTCTTCTCTCTTTTCTTTTGGATTAGTTTGGCCAATGGTTTATCGATCTTATTCTTTCAAAAAAACCAGCTTCTAGTTTCATTGGTGCGTTCTACTGTTTCTCTAGTTTCTACCTCATTGATCTCTGCTCTAATCTTGATTATTTCCATTCTTGTGTGTGGGTTTGGCTTAATTTGTTGTTCATTCTCCAGTTCTTTAAGGTGTAGAGATAGCTGGTATATTCTGGATTTTTCAATTTTTTGAAGCAAGGCTTGGATAGCTATATATTTCCCCCTTAGGACTGCCTTTGCTGTATCCCATAGGTTTTGGACCGAATCGTCTTCATTCTCATTGGTTTCCATGATTTAAGTTCTTTGTTTTCCTGGTCGATCCAAGCATTCTTAAGCAAGGTGGTCTTTAGCTTCCAGGTGTTTGAGTTCCTTCCAAACTTTTCCTTGTGGTTGAGCTCCAGTTTCAAAGCAGTGTGATCTAAGAATATGCAGGGAATAATCTCAATCTTTTGGCATCCGTTGGGCCCTGATTTGTGACCCAGTATGTGGTCTGTTTTGGAGAAGGTTCCATGTGCACTTGAGAACAAAATTACTTAGTGTGCACGTACACAATGAAAGAATTGGGGTCACAGCTTTGATTGTAATATCCTATTATTTGGTAGATATAAGTAAAATAATTTGTAATTTAAATTAAAAACAGTTAAAAAGAAAAATAATGCATGCTAATTTTTCTTTCTGACTTTTAATTTTACACAGGGCAAGAGCATCAGTTTCAATCTGGGAAGCCATTAAATGAAACTTGCTTAAAATCTTAGATCCTACACAGAGGAGAGACCTCAACCAACAGTAAGGTGGAAAAGAGTGATGTTGTCCTTGACAAACCTGCAGAATATCATCTCTAACCCGGTACGTGATTGCTATACAATCACTTTTTATCTGTGGCAGGATTTAGAGCAAATCCAATTGGATAGTAATTGTCCATTGCTGGGGAGAAGAGACCATCAAATTCAGTAAACATATGGAAAGGGACTGTGACAGGGACTGTGGTGGAGCTCAGTCTAGTGGAGGACGAAGTCAACGGTGACAATACAGGGTGGTGAGGACGTGTTCTGAATGGAGAGCATGGGGGTACAGTGCGGGGAAGCCAGCTTTGGTGGTGGTGGGAAGATAATCACAAGACATAATTTTCAAAGGAAAATGGATTAATTGCTCTACAAATTTTTAATTTTCTTTTTTCTTTAGACCCGGTTCATGAGAAGTAAATGTCTCAGCTTTTCCCTCTGCCTTTCAAATACTGTTTCATACTTGTATGGGGAAAAGGTCAAAAGCTAGGGGCAAGATGGCAAAAGAGAAGAATTAGGGTCTTGTGGTCCAAAAGCCCCAGTGACTGCAATTGCTGGAAGTTTCAGGAACATCCCGGGAAGTAATGAACTTGTTTTAATGTGGTGGCAACAATCTTTAGAAATGGCTGGTTTCCACATATCTGAAGCTGAATCCTGAATTTAGGTCTGAGGTAGAGTTGCTGCTTTTCTTTTGTAACCATCCCCCAGGAGACTGGTGGGCAAGAGAGACAGGGTGTGAGTCCTTAAAGCAGGTAAGCCAGTCTCATTAGTGTTCGTGGTCCCCTTTTTTTGTTAGTTACTTTCTAGTGGTAACTCTTTTTTATCCAGGTTTTGATGTCATTGTGCAGAGCAGGGACAACCAGCACTCAAGCAAGTTCCATTTTAGAAGAAATAGCCTTCAGTAGTAGGCGTCCCTTAAAAAGGAAGACCGAGTTTGAAGTCAGTGAGACATTTAAAATGATTTTCTGTATCTTTGAGTTAAAAACATCTCAAGGTTGGGGATGCCCAGGTAGTTCAGTTGGTTAAGTGTCTTGATCTCAGGGCCCTGAGTTCAAGCCCCACACCGGGCTCCGTGCTGGGCGTGGAGCCTACTTAAAAAACAACAGCAACAACATCTCAAGGTTGTAGATGGACTTTCTGCAAAGATTAAAAAAAAAAACAAACCTGTCCACAAGGGTGCCTGGAGTACAGTCCTGGCTCCCACAGTCCTCCCTCCCACTTAAAGGAGGCGGAAGGGATGGTTGGGTGATGCTCCACAGTTCTGCCCTTCCTGCACGAAGGTGCCTCCTCTGAGTGTGATTTAGAGTCATTTTTTAGATTAAAATCCCTGTGCATCCTGGTACAAGCATGCTGATGATTCCTGTAATTTCTGGCTTTAGCACATTCAGCTGAAGGGTCGAAACAAGAGTACACTGACGTTCATTTCCTGCCGAAGGGCCCAGAGACAGTGCTGCTCCAGGGCAGGAAACAGCCAGGGCATCCATACAGCCTCGCTCCTGCTCTGAGGGTAGTTTCTGGTGACACATTCTTCCACAGTAAAGATTTTTGGCGGATAGCCTTTCTTTCTTTTCCTTTTTTTTTAAAAAAGCTTTTCTGTATTATAGTCTGTTTTCACAAGCAGAAAAGGGTAGAGATAGAAAGATTGACCTGAATAGCAAAAATGACATTTTGCTGGGGCAGCACGTCCTACTCTTGATTTTGGCTCAGGTTGTGATCTCAGGGTCATGAGATCGAGCTCTGTGTTGGGCTCTGTGCTTGGTGCAGAGTTTGCTTGGAATTCTTTCTCTCCCTGCTCCCCAACGCCCCATGCCTTTCTCTATTTCTGTCTCTCAATCTCTCTAAAATAAATCTTTAAAAAATCTTTAAAAAAAATCTTTAAAAAAATGACATTGTGCTCTGTCATTAACTTATTAAAGCAATGTTCATAGCACCAAGTGCTCACACTGCTATGCTCACTAACAAAATAACTGTAATGCAAGAAAATAGTTCTTTTTAAGTCTAGGTTGTACAGTATCTTAATAGATTGACTTAAAATCTCTAAATTACTTGGCAGCCTCTATTTCTTCTACCCGTTGTTTTGAACATTGGAAGGGCAGCTAGCTGCAGATGGGAGGAGAGCTTAAGCAGTGTGCACACTCATGTGTTTGTTGACTTATCAGGAAGACACAGAAACTACTGCCTTTTAATTTTTCTTAATGTTCCTAAAGTTTCCATCCACATTGGCAGTAAATTCTATCCACATTGTCTTCTTAGAAAAAGCAAAGTGCACTGTTAACTGTTCTGTGTGCTTTCTCATACCTAATTCATTTCACTGATTGCTATTTATGCAGTTCTTAATCTGTGACCTAGTGTGAGCTGGTTAAGATGCTCTTTAGCAGTGACTCACACTGGTGGTTAACATTCATTCCACCTGGTTCCAAAACACCCTTCCAGTCTCCTTGGGAACCTCGCTTCCACATTTATCCTTCTCTCCTTCATATTCTGAGTAGCCCCCTTTCTGCCTTACCACTGAATCTTAAAACACAAAAGAGTAAAATCTTTTTTTTTAATGTTTTTTTTTTTTTAAGATTTTATTTATTTATTTGACAGAGATCACAAGTAGGCAGAGAGGCAGGCTCCCTGCTGAGCAGAGAGCCCGATGCGGGACTCAATCCCAGGACCCTGAAATCATGACCTGAGGCTTAACCCACTGAGCCACCCAGGCCCCCCAGAAGAGTAAAATCTTAACCTCCATGGTCTCGTCCAGCCCCATGTCCTTCTTGTTCTCCCCTTGCAGACTAGTGTCCTGAGACAGCATCCGTTCTGCAGTCTTCATTCCCTCACCACAGCTCTGCCCTCTGATTTTTTTTTTTTAACTCTTTCTTTAAAAAAAATTTCCTCTTTGTCTTTACTAGTCATGTCTTTTCCATTTTGTCTTTACTGATCACTGTTAGACCTTCTGAGTATGTACACAGTATGTGAGCAGTTCTGGCCTTTTACCCAATGCTTTTAGATGCTCTGCCGGCCTTTCAGGACTGAGGAGTTTATAACTAAAGTCATGTCTTCCTCCCCGAATCAGCTTCCCTTTTGCGGGTTTCCATTTCTTTCCATGCCTTTCTGCTGTTTAATTATGCCTCCTCCCATGCCGCCAAGCCCTGAATAGTTTGAGGATAATCTGTGTTCCAAATTTAATTTCATTTATTTATGTCAAACCCAGTGGCTTTTCCTTTTTTTATTATTATTTTTAAAATCCAATGACAGTATGTATAAATCACTTTTAAAAATTCAAACTGTATTTAAGGGTTACATTAAGCCATACATTTTCCTTCTGCCCTGGTGCTCGGTTCCCCTCCCTGAAGGCAACCATATTTACCGGTTTTTTGTATATCTTTTCTGAGAGTACACGTGAATATCCCAGAGTGTGTTGTATCACTTTTGTTGATCCTGTTTCTTCACTACAGACCTCGTTTTGTGGTGCTTCTCGCAAAGTGAGGGTCTGTGGCAGGCCCAGTCGGGCCTCTCAGCACCATTTTCCCAACAGCGTTTGCTCTCTTCGTGTCTGTGTCACAGGTTGGAAATTCTTGGAACACTTCAGACTTTTTCATTATTATCATTTCAATTCTAGTAATCAGTGATTACAACCTGCTGAAAGCTCAGATGATGGTTTGCATTTTGTAGCAGTATTTTTATTTTTTAAAGGTTTTTTTTTTTTTTAAGATTGTATTTATTTGACAGAGAGATCACAAGTAGGCAGAGAGGCAGAGAGAGGGGGAAGCAGGCTCCCCGCCGAGCAGAGGGCCTGATGCAGGGCTCGATCCCAGGACCCTGAGATCATGACCTGAGCCGAAGGCAGAGGCTTTAACCCACTGAGCCACCCAGGTGCCCCCATAGCAGTATTTTTAAATTAAAAAAAGTACTTTTTGTTTTAGGTGTAGTGCCATTGCACACTTAATAGACTGTGGTTTCACGTAAATAGAACTGCTTCCTGCACTGGGAAACCAAACAGCATATCTGAAGAGCTTTACTGCCCTCTGCACTCCACTGAAGTGGCCCGGAATCCGAGCCCGCAGTCTCTCCGAGTGTGCCTGCATAGACACTGCTCTGTGTGCTGCTTTCCCCAGTGAATGCGTTTCGGGGAGTTCAGTACATACACGTGGCACTGCCTCGCTTATCTTCCTGGCTGCACGACTGGCCCGTGGTGTGGGTGTACTGTCGCTTATTCGGCCCGTTTCCTTTAAAGGACTGTTGGCTTTTGTGATTCAGTGCTGTGTGGTACAGCCTGGTGTATGCCTGAATTTTACAGTCTGTGAAAGTGGAATCACTGGATCAAAGGGCATGATAGCCACTTCGTTATCTTTTTAAAAAATCTTCCTTATTTTTCCATGTTAAGGATTTTGACAGCCTTCCCATGTGGAAATTGACCTCCTTGATGTGTCTAGCTGACCGGGCCTTCTCTCCTTTCTCTTCCCGTCCCCCGCATCGAGGTCCCTGACGCACACACCCAGGCGTGATGACTCACTGGCACAGAGTCCTGCTCATGGCTGTGATTTATTACAGTGAAACGATACAGAGCCATGTCACTAAGGGAAAGGCACCTGGGGCGAAGTCCAGGGGAAACCAGGTGCCGGGTTCCGCAGGCCCTCCCCCAGTGGGCTCCCCTGGACCCACTGAAACCCCCCAGCAACAAGCTGTGACAGTGCATGTGAAATGCCGCCCGCCAGGGAAGCTTGCACATGGCTTGCAGTTTAAGTACAGGAGACCACCCTTAGCCGTCTGGGTGGTGGGTGCACTCCCTAGATCCAAGTTCCTAGACCCCAGCCAAGGGCCAACCTCGTCAGGAGGCCTTGCAGCGCTGGCGGTCTGTTTGTGAACTCCCTTCTGCATAGTCCCTCAGTTTACAAACCATTTTATAAACCTTTGCCCCAGCTTTTCCATTCTCTTAGGTTCCATGCCTTGATACCTTGAGTAACCCTCTCTTCTTGGACTCAGAGCATGAGTCCTGGCCTCTCGCATCCCGTGTGGCCCTGTATCCACTATTCCTTTCGGTGTATGTGCTCTTAGCTGTTCTCCCAACCCGTCACACCAGACTTGTTCAAAATGATACGCCTCTTCTTCTGAAATTGGTTTCCTCCTCAGTTTTACCATGTTAGATGGTGGCCCTCTGTAGATCGTTCCCTTGGAAGTAGTTCTTGTGTGTGTCTCTTCCTCCCCACGTCTCCCCATGTCTGCTGCCATCAACCTGGCTTGTCCTTGTCTCCGGCTCCCTAAAGTAGCCACTCTCCCCGTGAATGCCCCATGCTCCACTGTGCTGTTCCCGACTGGACTGCTGTCCCCAAGCCCTGCTTTCATGATCTCATACTGCAGTCTGACCCTCTGTCTTGAACTCTCCCCCACCCCCATTTAATTTTTTCAAAGATTTTATTTTTCAAAGTAGAGAGCTAGCACAAGCAGGGGAAGCAATGGGCAGAGAGAACAGCGGGCTCTTTGCTGAGCAAGGAACCTGATGCAGGACTCCATCTCAGGACCCTGGGATCATGACCTGAGCCGAAGGCAGACATTCAACCAAGCCACCCAGGCATTCTGTACTGCCCCCTTACTGCTTATGTCTGCCAGATCTGTTTCGTCTTTTCCTGCCTCTCTGCTTTTGTAGATGGACGTGTCTTCCTGAACTGGCTTTCCCCTCCTAACTGCCCAGCTCACATCACACCTCCTTAGAAACTGTATTTGGGCAACCTGGAATGGTTTCTGGAGCACCAATTTGGCCTCTTCTGCCCTATATTTGAAGGTGTTGAGCTTCGAGCTTGCAGCTGTAAGCACAGGAACCAGTCTGAGCCGAAAAGGCATTATTCACTGACACCCAATAGTTCTGAGAATCTCTAGCAGGACTGAAGAACCACACTTGGCAACTACAGAATCACAGACGACACCCCAGGTCGTGCTGTATGACTGTTAACCCTCCTCCCCCAAGATGGTCCCCTTGCACTGGCAACCCCACCTGGACCAGCTGTGCCTCTGACCCCAGGGAGCGCTGCCGCCCACCGGCCGAACCAGCACTCTGATTCTGGCTTCTGCCCTGGTTCTAACTTCCTGTCTGGGAGGTCTGGCAGTCCCAAGGAACGGGGATTCGTTCCATGCCCTTGCCCTTTCCTGCAGTCTGGATGAGGTTGAGGGAGGATCTTCCAGATACGGGACAAGACTGTGATTCTGAACAGCCAGAGTATCCCATTTCCACGGGGCTCTTCTCCCCAGCTGTGTTATAAGCTCCTCCTGGACAGGACTCACGCACTTCTTTTAGCTGCAGCAGCCGCCTAGGAGAGGCCTTTGTGGGTAGCAGACATCACGGAAGTAATCCTACAACAGGCAGAGCAGGATGAGACAGCTAGGACGCTCCGGCAGGTAACACTAAACCCAAGTATGGCTTCAGCTTACGGTATTGTCTCCAGTGTGATCAGAACTGGCTTTTAATTTTTCTACATAAATTATTCATGAAACATCCGAAGCCTGACATTTGCCTGCAAAACAATACCCTTTTCCCTTTCTGCAGAGTTCTGAGTTCAGGGAGTGGGCTGCAGAGCCTTTTGTGTCACTCACATGGTCCCAGTCACCTGAGAATGACTGACACCGTGGAGGGCGCTTTCCTATGTAGAAAGCGCTCATGCAGACAGCTGAAACAGCAGATGGCGAAGGTGTTCAGCGCTGTTGTTTCTCAGACTGGAACAATTTATTAACAGTTGGGGAGAACTTATTAGCGGTGATGGGAATAGATTACTGGTCTCAGAAAGTTTCCAAACCTAAAGTTAAATATATAATAAAAACTTGTTATAAAAATATAAATGCTTATCATAGAGATCTGCAAAATATAAAACTACATGAAGAAAATTAAGATCCCATTCCTTAAGAAAACTATTGTTAACGTTCTTGGTTCCTTTCATTACAGTGGTTTTTTTTTTTTTTTTTTAATGTTTATCATTAACTTAGTTAAGATCATACTGTGTCTAGTTCTACAGGCTCTTTTCTCACTAATATTTATATCCCTACCTTTCTGCATCATTCTGCATAAATACAGTTGAAATGTATATAAAATTCGAAGTCACGAAGACTGTTCAGTTGATTAAGAGATTCACCCTGCGAAGGGTGCTGCTGGCTGTTCCTGGAATTGGCCGTGGCCCAGATCAGTGTGGACGTGTAATTCCTTCCGTATCCTCTCCAGGCAAAACCCAGCAACTCTGGTGTGTGGCAGTAGCCTCCTTCTGGGCGTGTGTTGTGTTTTCTGGTGTGATGGGCTCTGTTCCTCCCACCCACCTTGCTCTCAGCAGTTGTCACGACACTGGGTGACAGCTGGCTTCAATCATTTCCTGCTGTGCTCAGCCATCGCTCAGCTCACTGGTCAAGGCCGCAGCATGCTCGTTGAGCTGCCGCCGCTCAGCTGCCACTCCGCTGCATATGTGTGGCTTGCCGGAACCCAGTTTCTGGGCTGACGAGCACTCACTCCTCACCATGTAACCACTGATCATCTCCTGACCCCAGTTGTGGGCACCTGAAGGTGCCGACTGAGGCCTGCCCTGCGCAGCTTAAAATTGAGGCAGCGTCTCATGTGCTGTGAGGGGTCCTAGGAGAGGGGTTAAGTCTGTTGGCCCATGGAGTCTGAAAAAAGCTTCATGGAGGAGATGGCCCTTGAGCTGAGATTTTCTGTTTAGGAGCAACCAATCTACAACTACTTTTTTTTTTTTTTTTTTTAAAGATTTTATTTATTTATTTATTTGACACAGAGAGAGATCACAAGTAGGCAGAGAAGCAGGCAGAGAGAGGGGGGGAAGCAGGCTCCCCGCCGAGCAGAGAGCCTGATGTGGGGGCTCGAACCCAAGACCCTGGGACCATGACCTGAGCCGAAGGCAGAGGCCCAACCCACTGAGCCACCCAGGTGCCCCTCTACAGCTACTTTTATGTGTCCTCTCATTTTAGGTCTTATTTCTTGATGATCAGGGCTACCTTGGATAGACTTTAGCATTTTTATCATAACTGGAGTGAGCTTGGTGTAGAGCATGATGGCATCTGGCCTGCTTGTCTTGCTCAGATGTCCCTGAATGGAAGGGGCGATGGTCGTGATGCAGGAGACACAGCCAGTGGGTGGGGAGGATGGTGGAGTCGGCTCTGGGGAAAGGGACAGACAAGATCTGATAGTGTGTCCCAACCCAGGCAGAAAGGCTGAGTTCTGTGATAAGGGGGCAGGCAGAGACCTGGATACTGTGTTACAACCTAAGTCTGCAGACTGGACCAGGCCAGGCCAGGCGGGTGCTAGGCCTTGAGAGACCATAGGCACCCTAAGATCACGTGGTTCTGATTCCCAGCAAGGGTCTGGAATCCTGGCAGGGAAGATTAGACACTCGGATCCCAGGTGTGGAGAAGGGCTATGTTTGGAGCCCCCTCCCCAGGCAGTGAATGTTGCTGCCTCCATCAACATGGGCTTGGGGCCTTGCATGGTCTCGGTCCCACGTTTGGATCATTAGTGGAACTTTAGGGGAAACAGAGGGGGAGGGGGAGAGGACTTCCAGCAAGTTGTTTCTTCTGTTAGCAGAATTATCCTATTAAGTAGACATTTTATTTCACAAAACCCCCAGCCAAAGAAAAAGTTCTATGAACTTCCAGCTGTATCTTTCTCTGAAGTACTCCAAGATGTTTCAGATCCTGTCACTATCCTGTTTGAATAGTGACTTGGAAAATGCTATAAGATTCTGAGATTTACATGCATCCTTTCAAAATGTAGTCTTTGTTTTCTATAAACATCCACTTGTTAAAATTATTTTTTCCTAGGTAATCCCCTATGTTGGGACCATTCCTGGGCAGTTGGAGCCTGGAACTTTGATTGTAATACGTGGGCATGTTCCCTGTGATTCGGACAGGTAAAGCTATCATATTGGCTGAAAAAGGAACAAGACTGAACTTTTTGTGGGGAGACTGTTTTCGTACTTTGAGCCCTGGTTTTGCTTTCCTCGACGGCCCAGGTGCTGAGGAGATGGGAATAAGCGGCTGAGATAAAGTTCACTTGGATGTTTTGTTTTACTGCTGTAAAGTATTAGAGATCTAGTTAGCGATGGGAATCGTGGTCAGACCCCAGGGACAAGGTCGAGTTGCATGTAACATTACCACAGCATTGCTTATGATCTGTTCCGGGTGAGTCGTCTGATGCTTGCTCTGGTACAAACTGGATGAGGCTGTCTTAAGTTCGAGCTGGGCCGCCTCTGAGGCCTGGATGACAGCGGTTTAAGTAAGAAGTGAAAGTCAAGTCTGAAGAAGATAGCCCACATGTTTCTAGGGAGTTCCGTAGAATCTAGAGAAGCAGGCCTCAACTCACGGTTCTGCTGTCCCTTGTGTTGGGTCCTTTTTCTCGTGGTTCGTGGCAGCTAGAAACCCAGCCCTCACACCATGTTTTGGGTGGCTGGGTGGGTGCCTGTGGGGTTTGGGGGGAGGGCGCAGGGGAGGGGAGTGGACAAAAGACAGATGCCAGCTGACTGGGGCCATTCTCAGGAGTCTTCCCTGAGCACCTGCACCTCAGCAGAGCCTCCGGCACCGGAGGCCACCTGCCTTCCAGGGAGGCTGGAAAATGTGGGCTCTTGCTCTGCATTGACATGGCCCCAGCCCCAGCTCAGGGCTCTGCACCGAGGAAGGAAAGGAAGATTCTGTAAGAAGGTATTTAGGCCACCTGGGTGAGTGAACAGCGGATCAGTCCTAGGTCTCTGAGGCTGGAGTTTTGGGCTTGCTGGGTTTCCCCCTGCAGCCTCCTTCTGGGCTCCCACGCGGCTCCTCGCTCCTTGCTCTCGCAGGTTCCAGGTTGATCTGCAGTGCGGGAGCAGCGTGAAGCCGCGTGCCGACGTGGCCTTTCATTTCAATCCGCGCTTCAAGTGGTCTGACTGCATCGTGTGCAATACTCTGAAAAATGAAAAATGGGGATGGGAAGAGATCACCTACGATGTGCCTTTCAAAAAAGAAAAATCTTTTGAAATTGTGATTATGGTGTTGAAAGATAAATTCCAGGTAGGTTTTGGAGAAAGAAGGTGGAATCCTCGTTAAGGACCATAAGCACCCAGGGCAGCTCTGCACATCCACGAACTCCTCCTTTGTTAATTTAACTCCGAGAAAAAGAGTGGCTCCATCCTTTGGCTCGAAAGCAGGGGCCCGGGGAGTACCTGAATGTGAGGTGGGGCACACCTGTGTCTGCCTCCGGTGTTTCACCCGGAATGTGTCCAGGGCAGCCAGACCTTTTTATTCGATCCTGTTTCTGCTAGCATGGCAGAGCTTAGATCCGAATCAGCACAGCATCCTCTAACTGGGATAGTAAACGGTGATCACCGTGACCCAGATGTGGGGGCATCTGGAACTCACAGATGGATAGGGAATCCGAGTTAAGTCCCGCCACAAGTTCTTTAGGATCATTAGATTTCAGACGCAGAGGAGTTCGTAGAAGTCCTACGCATAGTAAATACCAGCGTTGGCTTCAAGCGGTAAAGACCCTGCCCGTACTAGCATGTGGGGGTGAGGCAGAAGGTGGCCCTGGAGGCTTTGGACAGGGCGCACTGACCCGCAAGCCCCATGGAGCCTTGAACCTCCCAGACCTAGATCCGCTCGCCTTAGAGGGAAGATTCCCCATCTCTAGTGCGGGTCCTTTCTGTCCTTCGGGATATGCTCCCAAGACACCGCTCCTGAATCGCCCAGTCGCCATTTATCCCTCCCTTGCCTGGCTTTCTGAGCACTTGTGTCTACAGCATTCTCTAAAACCCTCCTTCCTGTACTGCGGTGCCGCCTTCTGGGTTTATTTTACCCACTAGTGGGATTTTAAGCTTCTGGAGGTTGGGGAATCGTGCATGTGGCCTGTGTTCTCCCGACATCCCGTCTGGGAGGGAGGGCCGCGGAGTCAAGTGGAGTGGGTCCCTGTTGGCAGGCCCGGTGCTGCAGGACGCTCAGGAGTGACTTTCTGGTCTCCTCCCAACAGCAGCCCTTGCCTTGAGGGTGAGCCTTTTCCCACTTACGGTAGGAATTAAAGCTGAACTGAGTAGCTGGCCCATGTGTGTTCATTCAGCAGATAGAAGATTTACTGAGCGCCTGTGGTGTGCAGGGTGGTCTTCCTTAGAGTGTGGTCCTCTAGGACAGCAGGCAGGGTGGAAGGCTTGCAGGACGAGGGGATCAGGTGACTCTGAAGCCCAGTGTCTCATGTACATGCATGGGGACACATATGCGTATGCACATCTGTATTCATAAATGCATAATTTGTCAGTGGGCGGGGAGTTCCATGGTTGTTCCTCAGAGGAAGTTCAGAAACACTGCTAATATTATGGATGCTTCCAGTCAGTTTGGTCAGACATAGAATGTGCAGACCTGTGAGAGAAGATACTAAACCCAAGCAAACATGATTTAAATTTGGATGCATTAGTAAATGTATTAATTTTTTTTGTTCTGTTTTTTTTTCCGGGGTGCTGGGCTGTCTTCTCTGTCCATGTAGGTGGCTGTAAATGGGAAACACATACTGCTCTATGCCCACAGGATTAGCCCAGGGAAAGTAGACACTCTGGGCATTTATGGCAAAGTGAATGTCCACTCAGTTGGTTATAGCTTCAGCTCGGTGAGTACCCTTCCACCGCTGGGCTCTTCTTCGCTGATGTCTTCTGATGAAACGGTAGGAAATATCTTTAGTGTCTTCTGTTAAGGTAAAAATTCTGTAAATGTTTCCGTCATTAGTGTATTAATTTCTTGGAAGTGAATCTTTCAGACTGGTAATTTGCTATGTCCAGGCCAGGGCTTCAGTGTCTATAGGATCTCAAATCTTGTATGGCTCTAACAACAACAAAACCCAAAACCCAAAACAGTGACTACAAAACAAAACAAAAACCCTTTTTAACAGGGGCAAATTCCTTGACACAGGAATACAATGGAGGATTTGTCAAAGATCAGTTCCTAGAAGTAGAAAGTCTGAGTCAAAGGTATTTGCATTTTAAGTTACAACTGATAGCAGCTGGAGGGCTGGCGAGCTCACCCTCCAGAAAGCTTTCCAGGAACGTTACAGTCTCGGCCGCGTTGCCCGCTCGCTCACATTCTTCTTGATGCTCATTCTTAGTCTCTGTAATGCTTGCCAGTCTGATTGGGGGGTGGGGGAGGACCCTTACGTTACGTTAAGTACATTTTTGGATTGTAATTTTCAAGCATATTTTCATGTTTAGTACTATTAATAATTGTTTTTGATATGTCAGGGAGGGTTGTATTTAGAATTCTGATGGATGTTAAAAATTAATCTTATCTTCAGGATTTCAGAAGTACCCAAGCATCTACTCTGGAACTGACAGAGATAAGTAAAGAAAATGTAAATATTACATCTTTTAATGAACTACCAGTTTGAAAATGTTCTTTTAGTTGCCATGTAAATCAGGTGGTAGGCTGAGTTTTTAAAAATTATGTTTTTAATGTGAAAAATTATTTTTAATATTAATAGGCTTGAAGTAAGCATTTGAAAATTAAGGCATTTCCTTCTGTCCCAGGCCCTGTTAGTTGTGCAGATGCTTGAGCTCTCAGTGCATCTGCCCACTAGCTGCCATTCTTACATAAAACAAAACAAAAAAACCCCTCTCACTTGTAACTGTTGAGGAGAACTGTCACAGTATTTATAAATACTGAACACAGTGCATTGGCACATGAACTCCCACATGTATCTTTTCGCTGGTAGGAACAAGTACAGTCTTTGTTATTAATGGACAAAGGGATGCCTTATGGTCTCGGAACCTGTGACCTAATAGATGGAATACAGTAGCTCAGCATCTTGGGAGCACCTTGGAAAGAACAAGTAAAATATGTCTGAGGTTCACACGTAGTCCTACAAAAAAGTTATTTATGCCAGAGGATACAGGCTTCCGATGACCAGGGCCATGAGGCTGTAGCCCCAGCCTGAGCAGCCTGTCGCTCACAGCTCCACAGCGCACCATCAGGAAGCGCCGGCTCTGGCTGTTAAAAGCAATAGGCTCTGACTGATCATGTTAGAAAATGCATTTTTCCCTTTCAAATGTCTTCACTTTGACTTTCTCTTCCAATAGGTGCTGAAGTCCGACACGCCACATTTTGTAAGTATTTCTGCCCAGGTTATAACAGGGAACATTTTGTAAAATCGCCCAGGACATGAATAGTTTAAACCTTAGAAGACAGCTTCATTCCTTCCCCACCTTACTGCAGAACTCTTTCCCCAACAGCCTAGTAATAGAGGAGACATTTCTAAAATCGTACCCAGAACTGTCTACACCAAGAGCAAAGGTTCGACTGCCCATCACACTTTGACTTGCGCCAAAATACTACCTACCGGCTGTTTGTCAAAGGTTTGAAGAACCAGAAATTTTCTTAATTTTGTATAACCGATTAAGTTTGAATTAGCTGGTGATGTATAACTTCTGCCCTCAGTAGAAGCCCAGAGCAGCCACTCTGCCTTTCTGTGCGGACCCCGGACAGAGGAGAGTCAGCGGGGCATCGAGTCTCTGGGCTGAGTGTGTGTTTCTGTAATGCTCCCACCTGGGCCGCTTCCCTCAGGCAGAACGTGGAGCACGGCTGCAGGCCCCGAGTGTAGGCGGCTTTCTCAGAGTGTGTGACTCACACAAGGGATTTCAAGCCCCGCTTCACATTTATTCATTTCCTCCTCTGAGACGCTTTCCTTGAGTGTTGGCTGTGAGCCAGGCGGTGCTGACCGCTGGGGCTTACAGGGGCAAGTCCTTTACCCATGGCCCCGTATCTTCGGACAGTTTTCTCCCATGAGGTCGCTTTCTGCAGGCCTTCTAGTGCTCACTGTGGTTTCTCTTCAGACTCTGCCGTTCACTGCGAGGCTGAACTCTTCAATGGGCCCTGGACGAACCGTCTTCATTAAAGGAGAAGTGAATAAAACTGCCAAAGGGTCAGTACCAGTTACCAGGACGAGGCGAACACTTTCCACGCACGTCTCTTCCTGCCTTCTTCCCCTAACAGTCTTGGGAGACGGGCGCGGGCCTAGTGTCCTGATCCTCACCAGAAAGGGGAGGCTGCCAGCAAGACTGCTAACGAGCTGGTGGCAGAATCAGGGACTGAAGGCCGGTGTTTTGAGATAGGCTTTTTGTGGCCACACCGCAGGGTGGCATTTTTGTCTGGGAAGCCCACCCGTGCCTTGAAGACTTGAGGGCAGCCAGGAGGTCCGCTGACTTGTTAGGGCCCCTTATGTCATGTGACTTGGTAGAATTTCTGAAGAACCTTTTCCAGAGACATTCAAAAGCTTGAAATCCCCTATTTCCTAGAAAGCAATGAACTGAAGAACAGAACAGCTGTAAACGTTGACCGAGAACAGTACTCGAGAGGGCCGCAGCCTGAAGCAAGCCTTTGGTTACTTGCTCTAACCCTTCAGTTGCTTCCCACCCAGATCTGTGGCTTCAACTCTAATGTCCAAGTTTTTTAGGTTTTTATTTTGCAGAGAGCATATTTACATCAGTGGAATGCTAACTCCGAATTTAAAACTCTACCTTCATCCGCATCCCTAGGTCTGTGTGTGCACACGTTTTGTGTAGTTGTGAAGAGAGCTCAGTTCTGCTTGTTAAGGGAAGAGTTCTAGGAAGAGCACTGCTGACTACCGGTTAATTTTCTTTATTCTCTCAAAAGCTTTAATGTTAACCTCGTATCGGGAAAATCAAAGGATATTGCTCTTCACTTGAACCCACGCCTCAATATTAAAGCATTCGTAAGAAACTCTTTTCTTCACGAGGCCTGGGGAGAAGAAGAGAGAAATATTACCTGTTTCCCATTTAGTCCTGGGATGTACTTTGAGGTAAGATTACATCATGGGACAGGGCAAAGAATCCTGGGAGGAGGGATAGGATAAATGGTCTTTTAAAAATCAAGTCCATGTGGAGATTGCATTTGGCTTTTATTTGGAGACTGTGCATATAAATGGCATTCAAAATACAGTCAGTATTTTGGTTGGCATAAATGGCACAGCAAGTAGAACAGCACACTGTTTGCATTGGAATTATTACTGTGTGGTGCTGTATTTGTAGGAATTTTAACAGGAACCTTGTGCCTCAAGACCGATTTAGGCTAATGCTAAGTGAACCTAAGGACACAGGAGCCATGAAATTGTCTGCTCTGTCACCTGCCATCTTGGTTATATGTAGCTTTAGGTGGCAGTCCTTTCTTCCAGGTTAGTCCTGTTCACGTATATTCAAGGAAAAAGAGGTTTAGACCCTTAGAACTTAAAGACATACAGTCCTGAGTCCCCCATGTGTGTGAATATTATGGTCAAGCAGCCTTTCCCAAAATCTTCTGGATGCTGAGCGGATGAGACGTGGATGCTGGGTGGCTGGCTAGGTCCGCTCACCAGCTTAGGTGAAGTGCTGCCTTACATGGTCATTCAGGGTCCCGGATTTAGGTCATGCTTCTACATCCTACAAACGGTCACCTGCTCTGGACCATTACACGGAGTTCTTAAGGACTCCTCAAAAGTAGCTGTTAACAGCAGGAACGTCAAGGCTGAATAGAAGACGGCAGTCAGACATTCGGATGTATTCGTAAGTTCCGGTACATGCTGTGACCAATGTGAAGTAGTTGTAGGAGGTTCCCTGGAAGGTGTGGATATGGGTTTGAAATTCAGAAGGATGTAGGAGGGTGAAGTGAAAGGTGGCTTTTCCACATTGAGGGGATGATTTGAACAAGATGGGGAGGGGAGAGTATAGCACAGGGGTTTTCTTGGCTTGGCAGGAGTCCAGGTATAAAAGGTAACGGGGGCTCACTGGAAGGACACAGAGGTGACAGCTGCAGAAGGAAGTGGACCCCTGGGGTTGGTGACAGGAAACCAGTGACATAACTTGTTCTTTGAACTGACCCCAAGTTTGGTTCTGTAATAAAATGAAAAAGGACAAGAATTCTTTTAAATAATCATTTTTTCCTTTTGTTCTGTATCTCAGGAACAGTAATTAACCTCCTCTTAGACCACTGTTAATTGTCTATCGTGATCCGTTTTTCTCTGCTTGAAATGCCTGCCTTTTTTAAGATTCTCGATTCCATTAGTTTGATTTTAACCAGTATCTTCTGTTCCTCATTGTTTAAAATTCATTTATTCACTCGAACTACTACAGTCTTTAAAGAAATATTTCAGTTCTGTAAATTTTTTTTTTTTAAATCATCAAATCACGTTGGTATGAGCTGTTCTAGAACATCCAATGGTTGTGAGGGATTTTGTTGTTCCATATTTTCTTGGCGGTTGTGGGTCTGTCTTTTGCATGTTGTGTACTTGTGTAGTGGCAGTGTGTTCCCCGGGCCACAGACTTGTCCTGCCCATTGGTAAGGCAGCGGTGTGCCACCTGCTCTGGTACGATGTGGTGACTGATGGATGGACTTTTCCCACTGCGCCCCTCTACTGCCCCTTCCGGGCACGAGGCTGTATTTTGTGTTGAGATTTTGTCAAAGGTACCTTTGCACTAGTCAGAGCAAAAGAATAAATACACTCTTTGCTTCTTTGCAGATTTAGGTTTTGCCTCAGCCTGGCCCCTGGGGATGGAGCCGGGTTTGCAGCAGGGCTGCTCCTTTCCGCTCTGCTGAAGCCTTGACAGAGGGAAGATGCAGTCGGGAGAACATAGTGCAGGTTCACCACACGGGTCCTTTTAGTGGGAGTGGAGAACAAATGGCAGAATTGTGGCTGATTGGCAGCAGGAATGTCTTATCAGAAGTAGGAATTTTAGGTGCAAGAGTGAATTAAAGGGATTGGAGTTTCTTTTGGTTTTCACTGTTTTGAGTTTTAGGCAAAGACATCTCTGAAAGACTCACTAGTCACGAATCGGAACGCGAATTCCTCCATGGATTCACGGAAGCCTGAGCTTTTGGGAAACAGATGGAGACCAAGAGGTGCTGAACTGGGAGGGAAGTCAGGGCCACGAGGCAGCTGTGCAATCCTATAGAGTGCAAAAACTTGGTTTTTTATTATATGATTTGTCTAAGACCCTAGAGTTTAAGGCAGAAAAGTCCCAATCCAGGTCCCTTGGTTTTCAACTGTAAGCTGGAATCGGCTTCTCTGTGAGTGCCAATATGGCGGCAGTTTCTTGCATCATTACAATCCCCGAACACAGGCAGGGGAGCGGGGACAATAGGCAGGAAAGGGGACAGCAGAGGTAATGTGCTGAGGGAAGGAAGGCCTCAGGCCCTGGGGACAGTGTGAAGCTCCAAGCATACTCCGTTCCCTGAGTGGGACAAAGCAGAAGATGCTACTACCAGATAACTTCTAAGATGCTGAAGTTTAACAGCAGCAGGCTGGGAGAACATCTGTATAGAGCAAACCCAAGGGGAGCCACTAATGTTGTGTGTACTTTCCTTCCAGATGATAATTTATTGTGACGCTAGAGAATTCAAGGTTGCGGTAAATGGTGTACACAGCCTGGAGTACAAACACAGATTTAAAGAGCTTAGCGATATCGACACACTGGAAATTGATGGAGATATTCACTTACTGGAAGTAAGGAGCTGGTAGCTGATATGCTTGCTACAAAAACTGAAATACAAAATGACTTATGTAACACTGGCCTTGTTAAAATGCATCTGTTATATTTGTATATATATATGAAGATGAGCTTGTATAACGTGAAGTCCTACTAGGCATTCTCACTCTGTGTTCCTTGCCACACAGTGTGGTTTTGTCTAGCACAGAATAAGGAAATTTGAGGCAACAGCAACGTCCAGTCATTATTCAGGTCTTTCTATTCTCTCTCCCACCCTGGCCTCTTCTTTTTTAAATCTTCACATTCAACAAGTAGCTGTGAGGACAGAAGTATACAGTGGAGCACAATATTCCCTGTTCTCAAGCTCAGAATCTTCTGTGCTCTGACATCATGCCACTGCTTTTCCCACAGGCATTAGTCACCTAAAGTAACCAGAGATAATTACTCAGCTGTGAAGTCACCTACATAAACTAACTTATGAAACACTACTTCTCCAGCAATCGCTTTCAATCACATCCCATAATGGAAAGGACTGATGTTGCCTTCCATCTCGCAGTTTCCTTTGGCATGATAAATACCTAGCTTTACTAGCTGTAAGCATTGCCAAATAATTTAACACTACAAAATCTGAACACAGCACAAAGATTAAGGCAAAAAATGCAGCAAAACAAAACCAGTCGTATTAAAATGAACTTGATGTCAGTCTCAAGGCCAATGATGTCTGTCAGTAAATGCTTGGTGTACCTGAATTCAGGATGAGTCCGAGGTCTGCACATACCCCAACAGAAAATTTTAAGGGACAGGACTTAACTAAAATCAAGTCAAGATTAGATATCATGACTGTTGATAAAATAGGCACTATCAGAGGGTAAATACACAGAGACCATTGGGACAGAGAGGGGGTGTAACAATCTGTTGCTTGTCCCTATGCAAACGAACCCTGCCTTTCTGCTCCTCTAACGGTTAGTCCCTCATTAGCGACAGAGATCAAAACACTGTTCCACTGTAAGTGATTAAAATCAGACTTGTATCAGCAGGTTAAATTATTGCATTTCTGTAATTTTTTCTATTATTCTTTGAAGTGAGTTGGCAGAAGTTCTTTGTACAATTCTTACAGGTCAGATCTTGTTATAGGAAGTTTCAAAGCCTTGGGAGTAAGGAGGTAAAAAAGCTGAATCAGTTTGATCATTTTATCATGTTAAGTTGCTGGGCTGAATATGCTGCCAGCATTTAGAAATATTTTCTACAGGTTTTGGTTAGATATTATTTGTACCCATATACCAAAAAGACTAAACTAGCAATCTGATTTTTTTTTTTAGAAATACTCAGGGAAGAAGTTTCTGACACTTAATTCTTTTCTATTCATGTTAATTAATTATGTTGCCTCTTGTCAAACTTTCACTTGGGAAAGTTGAAGGAATCCCCCAGGTTTTTTTTTTTTTTTCCCCTTTAAAAAAAGAACATCAGAGGACATGCAGACTACAGGCCACTCAGAGAAAAATAAAAGCCCACATATATTGTTTTCTCTAATATCTAAGCATACTTAGGTTTGCTCTTTTGTTACACATGAAGGTATTATTAAGCCATAAGACAAGTTCTGTGACAGGAAAAAAAAAAATCAGTATTTTAAGAAGAAGCTGTTAGCACTTACGAATTAATCTTACCAAGACATTTCTTAGCTGGGAGTGCCCAGTCCTCCCAAGCCGTATCTCTGAAGCTGCACTTTAGCCTTTTGCTTCTTTCAGTTCCTCACTAAATTTCTATAATAAAGGCTTTCAAACTAAACATTCTATGGGAAGTTCTTAGATGCTTTAAATTTTTTTTAAAAAGGCATAAGTAAATGCCTTAAATAAAGGCAGGTTTAATTTTTCTTAAGCCTTTGCTTCACATGACAGATTAGAAAACTTCAAAACTTTGAAGCAAATGATACTTTCTCATACAAGTACTTCTTGGATCACCACCAGTGGAAATGCCATCACTTCTAATCCTGGAGGAGCCATGCCACCTAGTGTTTCTGGGCCCTGCCTCCACAGCCCACTGCTGTGGCACCCCAAAGACTGAAGGGTAAAGAAGACAATCCTAGTCCTAAGTGGGAAATGCATTCCAGAACTAATTCCCTCTGTGGCCACACACACAAAAATTAGGGCTGAAGTGTCATCTACCCAAAATGAAAAGTATTCCAAATAGCTTCCAGTCCGAAGCGCTGCTAAGTGCATGTCCTTGAAGAGCTACCATAAGTGAGATCATGACTTGCACACACGTACATAGGACTTCCCTTTCTGGAAAGAGTTAAGGTTTTACTGTCTAAATGAGGTACTTTCAACTCTGAGCGCCCAACTTAAACACAGCCATAGTATCAATGACTTCAATCAGAAAAGACTCCAACAAATGTTTAAACAAACACAGACTGCGTACAAACACCGGGTACCATTTACTCTCGTGGCCATTCTGTACAGGGGGTGGGAGAGGCTCTATGGGAGCACAAACCAGGCAGGAATTTTATAAAGGAGTCCGCACAGGGGTCAGGGTACCAAAAGTAATATGGTACCAAACACCCAAAAATAAAAATATGAAAAATAAATCTGACCTCTGAACAGAGGAAGAAAGAAGAAACACCAGAAGCCCAAGGTTTAGAAGTAGCTCTGGAGCGGCTCTCCCAGTATAGCTTCCAGTTGCTGAATAGTCTTTTGGCACTGATGTTCTACTTCTTCACATTCATCTAAAAAACAAAAATAAAAACTGAACCAATCTTCTGCTTTAATCACTCGTCTAATACTTCAGATGTTGCATTCTGTGGCCACTGTTTGGTCACCAGAGGGAAATGGAGCAGAGAGCATCGTGGAACCCTCCTCCGCATGCCCCATTCTTGCCTTGGTTCCCTTCTTGGTTTTGGACCTGGAAGCTGAGTAACGTGGAGCCCTTAAGGTAGTGGTACACTAATGAAAATCCCAAATTCCTGGTGATGCCCCTCATCCAGGACATAAGAAACAGGTGAATGTACTTTTAGAAAAGTAGCGAACCACTAAAATGAAAAAGTGTCTACTTGGCTCTGTCGGCCTTGCTGAGTAAGACCCGAACGCTTCTCCCTCGGGCTGCATGATGGCACGAGTGCCGTATGTCCACAAGTGCACACAGCTGGATTCCAACCCTACTTCTACCTGTCCCACTTTATTAGATTCTTATAAAGCCTCTAGTTTCTTCCTTTATGAGAACAGGGATAATGGCATATAGCCCATCGTGAGGATTAAATGAGATCCTGCATGCAGAGCATGGAGTAAATGGTCATTACTAACAGGCAGCTCATCTACTGCCATCTTAATGGCACTAGACACTCTGCTACAATAGCCCTATGTCTGGGGACCAGGATACTCAAGGATATAAACATCCAAGGTTGATGAAAAACCATATAGGACGATCTTACCATCATAACACCAAAGTACAGGTAGTGATTACAGTGTAAACGAAGTTTCTTACGAACACCTGGTGGTCCCCTAACGTGCTCCCTCACCCTACTCAAAACAGGAACTCCGCCTCCCGCATCTGCAGCAGGAGATGCGGTGTAGGAGGAAGGTGGGAGCCAAGGGCTCACCCCATTCTATCTACATTCCCATTATCACTCAGTACATTTTCACAGAATTTTACTCTAATTATTTCTTAGTAGTTTAGGAATTACCTTCCATCAATTCAGCTAAGAAAGGAATGGACTCTGGTAGCAAGACAATATAATTCTCCTTTAGTTTCTCAGCCAGTGCTAACACGGTAATCAGAGCGGCAAATCGAACCTGAAAGGGACAGAGGTAAAGAATGATGATTTAATATGAGCAACCTTCTACAAACCGGTATTTTATAAGTGTCTTCCAGTGCTGCTGGGCCCAATGCGAATTTGTTTTTATAACATTTTCTCCCCGCCCCCTCCTACGGGGAGCGCACCATGCGTGTGAGTGCAGGTGGTGGGAGGCTGGGGTAGAGACCGAGACAGAGAATCTTAAGCAGATTCCATGCTGAGCATGGTGCCCGATGTGGGGCTTGTCTCATGACCTTCAGATCAGGACCGGACCTGAAACCAAGTCAGACGCTTAACTGACTGCACCACCCAGGCACCCCCACGTTTTCCTTTAAAAATAAAATGCTACACACAAACTCAAGAGTGTTCTCCCAAATTTATGTATGCTGGAACTCAGTGGCTCGCCTGGCTGTTGGAGAGGACGCTGGCCTGGCTGAAGAGCATCCCGGTCACCTCAGGCAGGGCCCCTCCCCCAGAGCCCTGTGTCACCACTATAGTTGTGGGAGGGGCTGGGCACTGGATCTGGTCTCATGCTCAGCACAGAATTAAAGGTTTGGGTGTCTCACGTGACTGGTCTATGAGAAGTAATGCAAGTGGTTGTCAGGCACTCAGTGATTACCTTTAAAATACAAAAGATTAGGTAGATTTGTTAATTAATTATTGCATAAGCAAGAGCACCAGCCGCCCTGGGGGGCGGTTGCCAAAGAGGAGGGAGAGGGAAAAGTAGGTTCCCTGCTGAGCTGGGAGCCCAATGCAGGGGCCAAAAGCATGTTTAATGGACTGAACCAACCAGGTGCTCCAGTGATTCAGCTTAAAATCAAAGCTGTACCAGTCTTCTTTCTAGTTTTGGATCATTTAAAAAAATATTCGGATACAGCAAAATGATTTAAGCATCTGTAACCACCTACGTTCAAACCAGACTTTCTTGGTATTATACAGTCATAAATTTCATGCTGCAACTTTGTAAAAAGCTGCAATTTAAAATCTGGGGGCTTGGGGCGCCTGGGTGGCTCAGTGGGTTAAAGCCTCTGCCTTCGGTTCAGGTCATGATCTCAGGGTCCTGGGATCGAGCCCGACATCGGGCTCTCTGCTCAGCGGGGAGCCTGCTTCCTCCTCTGTCTACTTGACATCTCTGCCTATCAAATGAATAAATAAAATCTTTAAAAAAATAAAATCTGGGGGCTCATGAAAATAGCTTCATTGTTCTCTTTGTTCTAATAAGTAAATATTATGAATTTCAAGTACAAAACCTTTCAATAAAATTTGCTTTGGTCTGTTATTCTCTGAGGCTCCTGTATGATAATTAAAGAAATGGTGATTCTCTGCTAACCAGTTTGAAAACACTGACACTCAGACATGGGATTTTAATTTCCACTCATCCTTGCACAGCCCAGTGAGCTGCTTATTACCTTTCATGATTCCACAAAATCCTAAGCCTGATAAATTACAGTGAAGATAATACACTGCTCTAGCTCAAAGGAATATTCCATGGCAAACTGAAAAAGACTGTCTCTGGGAACACAAAGACACTTAAACAGTGGAATTCAGGTTAAACAAAGGAATTCAGGTTTTCTCAAAATTTAGAAGTATTTACAAAATGTTAGTACTTGGGTCTAACACTGCGGTGGAGAGAGGACTTCTGTTATTTATAAATAGGGTTTAAGTAAAAACCAAAAATTTGTCAGGCTCAAACTTCTGCCTCAC